TTAAAATTACTAAATTTGAATACAGTATATAAATTCATTAAATTAATATTATATTAAAATTATCTTTATTAATGTTGTTGGTGGTAGCCTTGTTTTTAAAATACTTTTGTTAGTAAAAATCGGCACGCCATATAAATTTTTTTTTTTGTAATACGTGGCGAAACAACAAAAAGCAATTGATTTTATCTTTTTTTAAAGGGAGATACAGTAAGACACTTAGTAAACTAGATGAGAAGTGGAGATTTTGAAAGGTCGGAAGGTAGTAAGTGAAAATTGTGAGATTTTGTCTTGACTGGTCTTGTTTACCATTTAAAAATAAAAAATACTATTTTGAACTACTATTCTAAACCTTTTTACGTTACGTATATAGTTTATTAATATAACGTTATAGATACAAGAAGTTGTAATAGTCGTAGTGTTCAGAATTGTTTGAGTACGCGTAATGATGCATTGCGAAAGTGAATTAAAGTGTTTTTTTTGTAAAATGATATACTTACAGATATATATATCGCGAAATTTGAATTAAAACAGTTATTACAAAACTGAATTAATGTACTGTAAAAGCACTTCTAGAATATTAAATGTTCACACTAATAAACTTTATCCGGGCTATAGACGATAATCTATCCAGGGTATGTCAACATTTTTCCGGGTTATTGTAACAACCAATCTCTGCTATGCTCAAACAAACAAAATACAAATAAAGCCGGTTCATGCCCTCATCTAACAAGCGCAAAGATGGCTACTTTCATATAGTATATCTGATTCCTCATGATTCAACTTGTTTAACTTCTATGGAAGCATTTAAAGCACATTGATCATACCTTGTAAAGTTTACTATGTTATTAGTTAAAGATACAGCAGTACTTCGATCTCGTGATATTGTAAATCGTGTCCGTTCTGAAATGGGGACCAAGATATCATATATGGTATTTTGAAGAAGTAAAGCTATTAGGCCATACAAAGTTAATTTGTCGTTTTGCATTATAGGATTTCAAAAATTCGGTCAGTTGGTTTGATTTTTTTTTTGTAAATTCTGAATAATGAACGATAACTCTAAAACACCTATTTAATCACAAAATGAAGCAATTAATCATGATGCCATTATGTTTAATTCGGCTAGCAATTTTGACGGTATATTTGGGCCCAAATTTATAATAATATTCAAATATTGAGCCTTATCTGTAATTATTTCATTTTGGGCCCTTATTTGTAATTATTTCGTTTTCGGATCCTTATCCGTAAATTACCCTTCATATTATTAAAATATCGGAAATAAATTTAAGCATACGTACCTGATTTTGGTAGCAATACTAGGTGAATCCGATTCTTTTTCGTTCGATTACATAAATCAGAAGCTGAATTATATTTAGGAAGCTGAGTTATATTTTAATAAACTAATAAAATTGTAAATTTTCAATAATAAAACATATTCTTTTTCCTGGTCTTATACACTTTGGTTCAAAGAGATGATCCTGATGAGATCAATATGGATCGTGAAACTATATACGTTTTACTTTTCATCTACGTACAAAGTTTTTATCACAAACAGATACTGTAAAAAGCCATCAAATGTGATCCTATGGAATCAAAATGGTTCATGAAACTATGAAGTTTTACTTTCATTTACGTATACAATTTTTGTTACAAACAGATACTGCAAACATCCACAAAATGTAACCAAAAAGTGCGATTATAAACCAATCAAAATTAAATAGAACCTCTAGAATCGATTTTCATGTTTGATAATGTCATACTGGTTCCTATAACTTTTCTGTAGTACAGCAAGTAAACAAGCGCCTATTGTCTCACCACCACTTGATCAACAAGCAACATCAATACTAGGCCTGGATACAAAAACAAATAAAGCATACAAATCAACAATAAAGCGATATGAAGTACTAGAAAATGAAAATGAATGGAACAGCGCATAAGGCAACTTCTAACCTATCACCAAAGAGCATCTAATTAAATTCATTGCTTACATACACAACAAGGTTGCGCCCCCAACATTGTTATCTTACATATCAGCATTAAAACACTACCACCAAATGAACCTCTTCTATTGGAGTGAAACGCGCAATGACCTTTAATTAGTCATCTACTAAAAAAGTCATATTCGCAAACCTACCAAACAACAATCGCAAATTACAAGGCATTATTTACTATCACTAAAAACAAATTGAATCCTGACAATCCAGATGACAAATTATTTTGGGCAATAGTACTGATGGTTTGTTATGACCTAGACCCGCCTGGGTGAGCTTCTTCTAGCAACACAACAAGACAAAGTGTCAGTTCTTTGCATATTAAGGTTTTTGAAGGTGGTCCACCACACATTCGCCACCACCCAATTAGCATGAATCAAAAACCATAATACAGCCATACGCAATTCTCTTACCATCAACCCAACATATGACGATTTGTGCCCGGTAGACGCACTGAAGACCTATATTATCCGGCAAACAAATCCAATATTTGTATAGAAGTAAATTACTTTTTACCAGAGCGTATGGATCATGGCATCAAAGTGCTTCTTCATTAATTAACTAAGGCAGCTTTTATCAGCAGAAGATGTAGTGGTCCAAAGCTTTCGAGTTGATGGCACAACTAGGCTGGTAATGTGTGGAGCACAGCTAATACTGCTCTGTAAGATTGGCAAATGGAGCTCAGACTCATTCTATAGATACATCCGGGTCCACCTAACCACGATAGCTGCCTCTGATAAAGGCATATTACAATTGAGTCGTTCTTATATAACACATGAATGGTGTCTCGACCGCCCGATTACAATAAAAAAAAAAAAAGAAAGAGGAAAAAGGGTGAAAGGAGAAATAATGTGAATACATAATTGGTCATACATGTACATGACTACATATGAATAAATAAATTGATAAATAAATAATAAAAATAATAATAAAGAGTAAAAAAGAAGTGATAACCTAAGCGACAATAATATCCAATTTCCAGTAAGTCAAACGAAATTATGTCCTCATAAAGCCCTCCGCAACAGTTTACCGACAGTTATTTCACTGACTTTAAACACTAACCAACGCTAACATTAAAACAGATCAACCTAGTTATAAATTAGACCAGCTTTAACACTAGTAAAGTGTCAAAAATCACCATATAATCATATTATTTTCAGTTTAATTAACTTACTTCTGAAGGAGCTGAATGTATGCTGATTTATTTCGGCATTCTGCTAGTATTCTGCTTGCTGAATCGGTATTTAGCCTGCTGAATCGGTATTCAGCCAGCTGAATAGGCATTTAGCGAGCAGAATGCTAACAGAATGCCGGTTTAAACCAGCATACATTAAGCACCTTCAGCAATCAATTAACTAAACTGAAAATAATATGACTTTATGTTGATTTTGGCACTTGACTAGCACAGTACGATATGTTGAAATATCAGAACCTTGACACCCGTATGTTGGAATAATCTTCTGATTCTGCCACCTTCCTATTTAACAGCTGGCCTGCTTTGAGCAGACGGGAAGCCACCAGCTGATGCTTAATCTCATTTGCTAATCTTTCGGGAGAATATGATCGTTCAGTTCAAATGCTTAAAATAACTATTTTAAAGTTTTTAATTGTAGTTTATTTCTAACAACTTTTTTGTCTGGAATTCATAACTAAAGCGTACTTATGTCCTATAAAAAAATTGTATAGGAACATATAGTAAATATATAGAAAGTATAAAAATATATTGAAACATATAGAAAACATACCAAAATGTTGTAAAAATTCAACGTTTTAGATGTTGCAGTTTTATTGTCTGGTAGCGTCTATGCAATGTCCGGGCGAAGCAACCAATAAAATTTGAGCAATTCGAGGTCCCGTGAAGATCTGCAGATAATACGCACCCCTGTAATTTGAGTCGCCACCCTTAAAGATCATGTGTAACGTGAAATCAATAGATAATAATGTGTTAGATTAAGATTAGGGTTAGAGGTAGTTTTAGAAAGTAATTTTTTTATTTAGAACGTAAAAGGTGGTTTCATAGGCAAAATTTTGAGTTATAGACGAACGTTTGTTTTGAATTTCCCTGATCGTGCTACGTTACACCTGATCTTGCATTCTAATTGGTTGATCAGTGGATAGCGATATATCGCCATGGCGGTATATTACAAAGTCCATTTGAATCCACTTTAATAAAATTTTTTTTTACTTCTCTATATATTTACTATATATTTAATATATAATTTCTACACAAATTTCATTTTCTGTATGTTTTCTAAACAAATACTTTTTTTGGGAATGGTTTTCGATTTCTTTTTATTAAATTTCCTTTTTTGGTTCACAATATGTTTCAAATTGGAATAGCATTATTTTACATAAATTTTAATAGTGAATATATATTGCTACGTATTAAAGTTACTGCATTAAGATATGTAAGTTTCCTTATGGTTGTACATAACAAACATTTAGAAGCATGAAGTTATTATTTTTTTTTTATAAATAAGCAATAAACTTCAACCTTTATTTTCTATTACTTATTTTTTCATTAAACAACAAAATGAATCGTAAAATATTGCTTATTATCGCAATAGCTCTTTCGAGCTTTACATTCCTTTTTCTCTTTCTAGTAAACCTGAGCGCTCCAGTTATAGCTTCAATCTCCATTTTTTCCCTCTCAATAGAACAATCCTTTTTTGGTGCTAGTGTCCGTAGTGAAATTGGGTTTGGATTATATGGCGCTTGTTATACAAATTCATCTTCATTCTTGGGGCAATCCGTATCGAAAACTGAATGCTCTCCTTATACTCCTTATTCGAAATCTTTTAATCTTACTGGATTCAGGATGAATCGGTATAATGGTGGCTTGCAAGTTGTTGAAGCTTTGCATACCTTTGGTAATATTTATTTTTAAATAGTCATATGGAAATAATACAAATATCAATAAAATAATTATTATTTGTTTATTTTATTTTAGCTTTAGTAGCTTCGTTAGGGTTGTCTATAATTAGTGTTCTTGTTTGGCAAAAAAACGATAATATGAAGCGTGCTCTGTGGACTTCGGTTGCTTGTGTATTACTCGTTTTTCTTTCAATGGTAGGGGAGATTATTCTTTTCACAATGGTTAAAAATGATCAAGACAACAGCAACACAAAGTTTGGTTCCGAATTAAGTTCAAGTTCATTTAGTTCATCGAGTACATCACCAAAACCATCCTTTGCTTTAGCTTCTGGATTTGCTTTGACCGTTTTATCGCTTATATTCACAATAGCAGCAATTGTTATATACTGGAAAGCTAATTCGATGCCTCAAGAAGATCAGAATCAGAAACCGCACTATGGTTTAACTGGTGTTACTGTGCAAATGTCAAATAATCAGACCGTTAATAATACTGCTACACCTTATCAACCACCACAATTTTCAACACCTTATCAACCACCGCAGTTTTCGAACCCTTATCAATAACATTAACCAACCATCTTAAGTTATGGACATTGCTATAACTTTTCATCAACTCAAACTTAATCTCTAGGTTCAGGGAATACAGGGCATGGATAGTATTATTATTGCTTAAGCTTAACGGAATTGATTTTTTGAATAATGTAATTTATGTATTTTGTTATTATGTGAAGATTTATTAACGGTAGCGTGTTACTAAAATCACATGATGCGAGACGGATTGAAAATATATGTAAATTTTTATAATATTGACTATTATATTTATTTTATTTATATACATCCGTTGTGTTCTAGAAATCATCAAATTCATTCTATATATTAATGTAATCTAAGTTATCAAATTAAAACAAATTATTATAGTTTAAAAAATGTATTTATATATAAAATACCCCAGAACAAAATTTATATTAAGATTATAATTTTGCATATGTTTACTTTTTTTTAGGTTTTTTTTTTTTTTATAGCACTTCATTTTATTTCTTTTAGGTAAGTAGTGGTGATTGTGGTAGATTAACATTACGGCGGATTTGTCAAATTTAACTAATTTTTGGTCCCCAATTTTAAGTTTTGGGGACCAAATTTATTACTGATTTTTTACGATTGAACCTTAAAAAAAATTATTGGCACTCCGATCTATAATAACAATGCGTCTAACCCATTTTTCCGTGGCTCTAACCCATTTTCCTCACTATTGCAACCCATTTTACATTCTGTACAATTCAGATAGGATAATTATATGAGGTCAAGTAGTCTATTACACGTAATTACATATATGTGCATCAATTAGATGACGCACTATCGACAGTCAAATTTTAAAATTTTGCAATGAGTAGTCTATTATACGTAATTACATATATGTGCGTCAATTAGATGACGCACTATCAACAGTCAAATTTTTAAAATTTTGGGGTATTTGACAAATCCGCCGTAATGAATAGTCATTTACCAAAATACTTTAATAATTTGTAATCGAAGTACTTCATATGAACTAATCATTCTCATTTAATTTGCATTAAGTGATTTGATTTTTATTATTTGAGCATTAGGTCATACCAAGCTGATTTTTCGTTTTGCATTACTTGGCATTCGAAATTTGGTCACTGGCAGATTTTTTTATAAATCTAAACTAATAGACTGAATTTTATAAACAAAAGTCTTTTAAATTCTATGGCTTTCTTGAAAAGGCATTTTACTTGTTCAGATATTATACAACTATGATTTCAAGTTCATTAATTAACTTTTGTATCAGTTAAATTATAAGGTATTATAAAAATATGTTGAGTTTAAACCCATCGGCAACTTACCAATTACAAGAGTGACTTGTGCTAATTCGTTATCCATTTTAAATTCTGAAAATTAGGTTCTTAGTGATAAAAATTACAGGGTCTGCATTTCTTCTACAAAATTTTAATTTATCAAAAATGGGAATACTGATTGAATGGTTATCTTTATGTCAGGGATTAATATAAATATGAAATTAGAAAAGACATCCCTAAATAAACCAAGGTTTACATAATTATCGTAGACCTAATTGTATGTAACCTTAAAAAATTATTTATTCATGGAGTCTACGCTAAATTTGTAAACCTTATGTTTAATGCTAACACTGAATTTTCTAATTACGTATATCTACTCCAAATCATGCAATGTCTGTTGACAACGGCCAATCAATTTTTTAGATCGAGTGACGCCGCAGATCCCTAAAAAAAAATACATAATGTGTCATGACCGTATCTGTAGTACTGGGGTTGAGGTATGATCATGGGTTACCGGATCATGACCAGGTTGCATTAGGCGTGATTGTGGATTTTGTAATATTAGATTACTAATGTGTGTAACCGGATAATCATATACCCAAGGATAATTTTGTATTACGTATAAAAGAGATGTGAATCTCTAATAAAATAAAGGATCAACCAAGTTCGTATTATAAACTAACAAACTATATCAGTAAGTACAATTTTAATTCATGTAATTCATTCCAAACAATGTAACACATAATTATTCAATAAAGACTAAAAAATAAAGAGTATAATTTTTATAGCTCACAAATTTATACGTATAAATGTTATACGTATATAGTTAGAATTTTTACATATAATTTAATATAATATAACAATTTTAGCATTTACCGCCGGTGACGATACTAGTAATGGGTGACGAAATTGACGAAATTTGATGAATAATTATTTCGTCAATTTGTAATTATGAAAATAATTTCGTCACTTATAATTTTGTCAATTTCGTCATTGCGAAAATAATTTCGTCACCCACCCCACCACCTTTTATTTATTTTTTATTTTAATCAAAATCTAGGGTCAGACCAAGGTTATGGTTAGATATAAAGGTTCAAATTTTAGTTAGTGTTAAGTTTTGGGGGTTCTGAAAATTTTTACTTAGTACCACTGACGTGAGTTAGCTAGTAGTTTTTGATATACATGGTATACAATACTCTGATGAGATTTCCACTGGCGGTAAATAGCAATATTTTTATATAAACATAAAATTTATATAAATTTTATTTATATCTATATAAAAATAATTTAACTACATTAGCTCAAAAGTACTAAGGTAATCGCCGCTCGATGCACTAAGTAAAAATGCCCAGCATGCTCGAAAACCTTCCCAAACCCCTAATTTAAACTTTAAAACCTAATCCTAGATTTAATATTCAATTCGAAATTTTTTGCAATTTTACATAGTTCTATGTAAATCTACATTGGTTTTATTTGTAAAAGTGTACTTTGTGGATTTGAACCCTAACCTACAATAAAATTTTATTTAAATTTTGAACTTGATTAGATCGTTTTGATGAAATCTAATTGGCCAGAATCACTTGTGGAGAAAATTTCTTTGGAATGAGCTGCGTGACTTGGTGTTAATCACATTCAAAAAAAGATCCGAAATAAGTTTACTCTGCGAATGATCGTCCACCGTGTGATAATATTTCGACGATCTTGCTATTTATAGGGGTCGTTTAAAGCAAGGTGCGTTAGAATTACTTTTTTGATGCAGTTAGGGTTACGTTTTTGATGCAGTAATGGTTAGTAGTTTATATAAATATCAAGAAAATAAATTATGCAGCATGTAGATCATTTCCAAGTTTATACCAAACGCACCTTGCTTTAATCGACCCCTATTTATAGCATTCATTTTAAACCATGTGGAAAAAATTGGTGCATATTATTTTCCGAATCTTTTGTCGACCATTTTAGTATTAGGCATTTTATTGCGTCACAGATTTTAACATTATGATTTTAATGTTAATGACATGCGTCAGTTTAATTGGACCTTTTTTTTGGTCACAAATTCTGATCAATGATTTCTTAGTTATAATGGTTTGTTAGATATTATACAGTCAATTGACATGTACGTCACTATAAAGTACCCTCAATTTAAGAAATTGTATCCCTTAAACCGTTTCAAATTCAGGGCAAATTTGCCCTGAAGTTAATTACAAATTGCTTCTGATTTATTTTTTTAAAAAATTTATAAGGTAGATGTGGGTATTATGATGAAGTTAACATTCTTTACTAGTAAAAGCTTACTCAAACAATTATTTTATTTGATTTTTTTTAAAGTTTATTTAGATTTTAACTTGCTTTACAATCGTAATACAAAGAAAACCGCGTTCTATATAAATTATACAATGTCTTTTAGAGGGCCACTATTTTTATTTTAATGAGGGTAAAATGATAAAAGTAAAATTGATGATATGCAGATTAACATTCTTTATTATCTATTATCATACAATACATGTATGTGAACTTGAGAAAAAAACTTAATATTAATTGTTACTTATTTTTTTTACTCAATTTTTTTTGCATTTTTTCTTCTTTTCGACATTCAGCTTCAGCTTTTTTTTCTTTTCTATGTTTAGCTTCAACCTTTTGTTTTTCTCTCTCTGCCTGTTTTTGGGCTGCAGCTTTCTTTTTTTTTTTTACATTTTCAGCTTTTGTTCTGGCTAGTTCTTTCAACTCTTCCAATTTTTGCAAAAAGGTATCATTGATAAGAATTTTACAAAAACTTAAAAAAAATAAAAATATAATAAAAATATAATAAAAATATAATAAAAATATAATAAATATATTTATGGTAACTTTGTAATAACTCTATATCAAAAATATGTTAATTATATAATCAAAAAATATAATTAACATATTTTTGATATAGAGTTATAACAAAGTTAACATAAATATATTTAATATATTTTTATTATATTTTTATTATATTTATATTAACTTTGTTATAACTATATATCAAAAATATGTTAATTATATTTTTTGATTATATAATTAACATATTTTTGATATAGAGTTATTACAAAGTTAATATAAATATATTAAAAATATAATAAAAATATATTAAATATATTTATGTTAATTTTGTTATAACTCTATATCAAAAATATGTTAATTATATTTTTAATATATTTATATTAATTTTATATTAATTATATATAAATAATATAATAAAAATATATTTAAAATTTAGTATTTATATATTAAAAATATAAAAATCATATTATATATATATTTTTAGAATAATGTTAAATATCGAAGTTGCTATATCACAGGTTAATAAGATCGACCAATTAGATCACAGGATCTTGTATAATAAAAATAAATGAAAACTTAAGAAAAAAAGTCAAAAATTTAAATATCTCAAAATTTTATTATGTAAACTAGTCTTTAAAAGTTTTAAACATTTAATTTTGCATATAAATATGCTTTTTAACTTTAATTCTAATACTAGCTCAAACCCTAACCCTAACTAATAATAATTTAATTTTTTTTAAAAATATAGTATATATGTATTAACCTGCGATATCACAATCTGCTCAATTTAACAAAAATCTATTTTTAATATATTAACTTTATTTTTTTATTTTATTTTTTTTATATATTGGCAGCCTCGCCGGTATCTTTATTAGATCAAAGCATATATATATACATATATTTAAACTATC